AGGGCAAGGTATTTGGAAAGAGAGGACCACGGAGAAAAAGAATATCTTGGCTTTAAAACCTGAGAAAGTAATTACTATTAAACTGGGAATAAGCCACAATTAAAGATAAAAATACGTTTATTGACGTTTCAATTTCCACTTCGGAAATCGTTCTCAAAATACAAACAGTAAATTAAACAAATTTTGTTTATAAATATTTTGTTTATAAATAATCCGAACTTTAAATAAATATTAAAAAATTTTTAGTATACTAAGTCATTTTCGTAATAAATATCTCCTGTGTTTATATTTTTCATGTGGTTTCACAATTATTTAGAAGTAAATAAATAACTACAGAGGAAAATAGCTCTATTATTGTTAAATTATGTTTATTGTAGAACCAGATACCTACATAGTATTAACTCTTACATCGTTTAACAATAGACGGAATTGAACGTTAATGTTTGTTATGTAAGCAGAGCTATGCAAACAATTTAATTTAATCTTGTAAATAGCCAACTGCAGTGTGTATTTAAACATAAATCTTAGTTAGAACTTGAACCTTCCACTAGATACGACAAATCTTTGTTATTTGGACTAATTTACGTAACAAATTGGTTAGAACACATTTAAAATTATTTTTAGAAATAAACTATAGATAAATAGGTTTGATTATTCCATGCAGCATGCAGATCTTTACTTATTTACTCCATAGAGTAATATTTTAAATTATTTAATTTTTTCATTAACCTTCCGTGACTAAGATTCTGTCTGTCAGACGGAACACTTCGAGTTTTTACGATATCTGAAACGTTCGTTATTTATCGTCGCCGTTCTCAGTAACTGCCTGATTTAAGTGTCTGGTTTTAGTCACAGATAAATTCGACGCTGTCATATTCAGATGATTTTATGGGGTATAAGGAATGCGAGGAGAAGAATAAATTGTCATGCACGTTAGATGCATTCTGTTTCTGTAGAGTAAGGAGGGCGATTTAAGTTCCACATCAGTTACACCACAATTGACGCACTGTGCAACCTCTCAGGGAGCTGTCGTCTTTATCTCATTGCCCATCCTGCCATTTCTTGGAAGGTGGACAAGTCACCAGGAGACATTTTCCTTTAGTGGGCAGGAATGGACCAGGACTCGCTGAACGCGTACTCTTGTATTATTGATAACTCCGGGCATTCACATAGGACATGCCCTATAGTTTAGTCTTCTAGTTTACACTTCTTGCATAGAGATGTATCTACTAGCCTCAGCATGTGGAGATGTTTGCTTAGTTGACAATGATCAGTTAAAAAAACCAACTGTCAAGCTTAGGTTTTTCGAGGTCATTCTTTCTCCCAAATACTTTTTTGCTGACTTTTCAAGGTTATTTAGTGTCTACATCCTTGCCCTTCTTCTCATCTTTTCACGGTCTGTGTATGGGAGTGATATTTGACAATTTCCGCGATTGTTGTAGTTGGTCAACCAAAAAGATTCCTAGGTCCTGAGAGTCTTATGCCTGCCTATTATGCCCTTAAACCCACCTCAGGATGATGGTATTACCATCCAAAGCTAGAGTTAGTGACTGAAGACACTCCATTACTATCCCTGATGTGACACGTGGTCTATTCAAGGTTAGCAGTGCTTGTCTGCTATCTGTGCCAATTATTATAGTTTTCCCGCCTATACGTTTTTGGGTTATCTCTTTTGCGGCTATGGAGATACCAGCCAGTTCTGTCTAAACCACACTGGCATTTTTGCCTATACGTCAGTTTATTATTAGGTTCAGTGGTCTGGAGTATATCTTTCTTCATTTTGGTGTCATCGGTGTATATGTAATACGGCCTTTTCACGCTTTTCTCCCTATAGTGTTTTGTTTCGAATCGGTTGGGTTTGTCAGATACAAAATTTGGTTTAATTGAGTCGCAGCCTGCCTGTAGCAGTAATAGAGCATTCAGCTCTCACCGCCAGAAACGAGTTCTGAATTGTCCCATTTCTACATCACGGTTCGTACCAGCCAAGCGCCGTACGGCGCTTGGCTGGTATTTTTTTTTAATAAATTCAATTTTTATTCTTTTAAAAATAAGAAAGAAAGTTTTTAAGCGATCCCCGACTCTCTTCAACCATCGTTCAATTTCTTGCTCCGCCACTTTCTTATCACTACATTTTTGACACAAAAAACACTCGACTGTACATACTTAAGACATAATAAGTACGAACTCTTCTGTACGTACTGGTACTATTACTGGGGTACTATGTACCCCAATGTACGTACTTAAAACGTACATTTTACATCATGTATGTACAGTACCAAAATTGTACGTACTTAAAACGTACTGTGCTGTTTGGGGTCGGATCATTGTAACCAGCGCCACTTCTTTGAGATATATGTCTAGAGGCGTGATGCCAATGATCAACTCCATTGTCGCAGTTGGTGTTGTTTTCATGGCACCTATTATATTTATGCAAGCCATCCGCTAAATATGCTTTAGTTTTTTAATCGCTGTAGCACTCTTGGTACTCAAGCAATAGCTCTGTAAGTTACCCTTAGCGTAATGACAGCAGTGTAGACCCAAACCGCTGGGTTAAATTCCCCAGGTGCGCCCGATCGTTCGTCGACACTGCTCGTAGTCAATATATGCTCTTTTAGCTCTACCATCTAAGTCTGAGTTCCATGATAGCTTCCTCTTAACGGTAATACCAAGGTATTTCACTTTGTCAGAAAAGTTTAGACTGTATCCTTGGGGATATTAAGACCATGACTCTTCCTTTTTTTTTTGATGCAGAGGAAGATCACTATATTCTTATGATATATAATTATATATTATTATAAAAAGTGAGTGTTTCTTCCACCGTGTTTCTAGTACTCGGAGAGCAACTTGTAATCTCTCACATAGTGTGTTCTCAATGTAACCGCTTTGCAGGACAACAATATCGTCTGCTTAGGCTATTGCGTAGAACCCGTTGCGGCTAATTAGGTCAACCAAGGTGTCTAGAACTATGTTCCAGAGGAGTGATGATAGCATCCCTCACTGTGTACATCCCTTCGTAACCATGCCTCTAACAGAAACGTCTTCTACATTTATGCTTATTGCTCTATTAGAGAGCATACTGAATATCCATTCGCTTACGGCCAGAGGATCATTCCTGACATTAAGCTATTGGGTGATGGTTGGGAATGTGGTTTTATCAAATGCGCCCTCATTGTCTATGAATATACCTAGGGCGAATTCTTTATTATTTAGCAATCTTTCAATTCTTCTCACTACTTAATGCAGTTCAGAATCGGTAGCTCTTCCCGAAGTACATATGCTGATTTGGGTAAAGTGGGTTATGAACCAGAAGTTTATTAATTATGTATCTCTCGCATAGCCTTGCCATAGTTTTCAAAAGAAACGATGTTAATCTAATTGGTCGGAAAGTCTTTGGTACGGTGTATTCCATCCTACCTGGTTTTGGTATGAAGACCACACGTACCTCTCCACTTCCTAGGAATATATCTTAAAACCAAAGAGGCTCTGCATATTCCCACAAGGTGTGACAGAATGATATCCAGTCCCCACCGTAGTAGTGCTGGATATATGCCGTCAGGCCTTGGGGTTTGACTTTAAAGGGGTGAAGCACAATATGGCGCATCTTACCGTTTTCTCAATAATCATTGTTCTGGAGAGATGCGAGTTGTTCGGTATGGTTATTATTGTTTCTTTGGTGCTGTTGAGGCGTTAGATCCGGGGAAGTGTGTTTTGATCAGGATCTTAGTACTTTCTCAAAGGTTGGAAGTTTTGCTTTCATTTTCCTTTGTTAATATGCCGATGTGGGTCTTTTGAAAGCTCTTTTTGTAGCCTATACGCTTGCGGAAAATCTTTTATTGCCTCACAGAAGGTTCTCCAAGCAGCTACTTGTCTCTGTCTGCAGACTTTCTTCAACTATGTGAAGTTTGATTGATAATAATTCCAATCCTCTGAGTTTGGTGCGTTTTTCTCTATTAAAAGCTGTTCTTGCTGTATTCCAGACTAATATTATAGGTAAGCCAGCGGTGGTCAGATATAAAGATGTTCTCCAAAACCTGCCAGCTCTTAATTATATTCGATATTTTAGCTGTTGACAGATACTATTATGTTGACTGATATATTAACATAGTAATAAAGAGACTTATTTAGAGCGTTGTTATCTCTGCTGTCCCAGCCTAAATGGTAAGAGGTCGAATCGCAGCCGATAATGTGGTCTACCTTCTGAATAAGAAAATGGTCTACCAAATCTTCAATCTCCTTTGTTGGTGGTAGGATGGCTGCATCTGAGGGTAGGTAGACCCATGCAACTCTCTATGTTTGCCCTTTCCCCATAGACATTTCACTTTAACCGCACTTACGTCTGAGGTGCAAATATGTGCCAAATGGAAGGCTTTGATTTTCCTGGGAGCATATATGGCTATTCTCGGTGTTCCAGGCGGCGGTATAGTGTCGCCGTTGCCACCTTTTTGTGTTGAAGGTTGCACTGAGTAATATTTAACTCATTTTTTCCGACGTTTTTGCCCATGGCTTGCGTGACCTTTGCGAAAGTGCTAAGATTCTGATCAAAACACAATTTCTCGGGTATAGAGCCTCAACAGCAGCTAAGATACAATAATACGCATACTGAACAACCATCATCTCTCCAGAACAATGATTATTGAGTATCTCATCTTCCAGTTTTATTTTTATAAATTAAACTCAGAAATACTTGTGGATATGTGGGTAACACTCACAGAAAAATGGAACCTTTTAATATATTGGACCATTGTGTATCTTAACAGTTTCGTTCCGTAATATAAGATCCACTTATTATTGGGCCAATTGTTAGTTTTATTTAAAATAAATGCGTAAATACACATTGGATCAGAAGAGCCTTGGCTCTAACTGTTCTATATTAAAAATATTCGGAAAAAAATGTACGAAGTAAGTAAATAAATTAAATAACCATATACACATTTATTAAAAAATTAACAAAATAAATAAAAATATGTACATTATAACTACTTAATATTCAGCCAATACAAATAAAACTGGGAAGCTCTGTTTTAGTAGTCTTAAAACTGAGAATTTAATAATCAAAAACAAATACTGGTGATATTATTGGATTAATTATATCATAAGAACGTTTATAACTTTCATTCATATCATTTAATCTTTCAGGTGTGGCATACGACACGTTCTCCCACATGTATTTCAATGTTTTTATGCAATTCGCAACCTACAAAAAATAAGAGTTTATAAAATATACATATGTTGAATATAACATTAATTAAGGTAATTTCGAAAATACAAAATATGCTGTATTTACTAACTACTAGTATCCCAAAAATTTTAAATTAAAAGACAATACGACATATTTCAGTCGTCAGAGATTTCATTACTATAAATTATACAAACAAGCTGAATTTTGCAGAGAATATCAATATTGAGACTAAAAAATGCCATATGCCAAAGATAAGTTGTAGAGAATCTTTTGGCTTTTTCAATACGAGTTTTTATTTCGTAGTTGTGACCCAAGTATCCTTAATATTGCAGCCAAAATAGCATATATTTCCACTCTTTCTAACGGTGTATCGTTAATTGTAATTTGGGCGTTTATGCCGGTGTTCTTACTAATGATCATTATTTTTGTATTCTTGCAATTTAGTTTTAGGCCGTATTTGTTACATGCTTCTACAACGTTATCCACCATCCTTTGGACCCCCTGCGCAATATATGCCAGCAACACTGTATCGTCTGCATATCTAATGTTGTTTATAAGTTGGCCATTTACAGCAATCGCATCTTCTGATTCGTCCAACGCCTCTCTAAAGATGTTTTCAGAGTATATGTTAAATAATGCATGTGACAATGTCAAACCCTATCAAACTCCTTTTTCGACTGTGAAGATCTCGGACAGTTCATTTTCTAATCGTACTGTTGCTTTTTGTTGGAGATATAAGTTTGAGATCAGTCTTATATCCTTACCATCGAGTCCTGACGTTTTTAAGATATCGATTAGTTTCCCATGTGGGACTTTATCAAATGCCTTCTCAAAATTAATGAAACATGCATACACCTCGCAGTTGATATCCCTGGCTCTCTGTATTAGAACTTGCAAACTAAAAAGTGCTTCCCTCGTTCCTAGTCCTGCTCTGAATCCAAATTAAACTTCACTCAGGTGTTCTTCTAATTTGGTGTATATGCGCAAGTGCATGATAGTAAGGAGTACTTTAAATACATGACTCATCAAACTAATTAATTTATGTTCTTCACATTTTCTAGCGTTGGCTTTTTTAGAAAGTGGAATGAATATTGATAGTAGCCAGTCTTTTGGTAAATAACCAGTCTCGTAGATGTTGTTGAATAGCTTCATAAGAGCTGAGATTTGGGGTGCCTCCAATAGCTTTAAAATTTCACCATGCACCTCATCAGATCCTGGTGATTTCCCATCTTTAACCCGCTTAATGGCCATAGTTACTTCTTCGTTTGTTATTCCTGGGTCGTAGGGATTGTTTATTTCACTCGGACTTCGTACTGCATCTTCGAATAATTCTTGCATATATTGCTTCCATCTTTGTAATTGATCTTCAATGACAGTCAAAATCTTGCCTTCAATGTCTACAACTACGCCTGTATTGCGTTGTTTTCTGGTATTCTGTAGTTCAATTTCTTTGTGCATATGGAAATCGTCATGTTTGCGTTGTAGTGTTTCAACTTAGTGTTCAACTACCGACGAGCCATAAAACCACGGTCTTACTCGCCTGTCTACCATGGTCTTAAATAAAAGAAGCGTGAAAAGTAGCACTTGACTCGATCTGATGATGCAGTGATTTATAAGATATATATATATATATATATATATATATATATATATATATATATATATATATATATATATATATATATATATAAATTAAAGTACAAAATTGCTGATTACATATATGAGCATATACAGCAATGGACAAATAAATGGTAAAATTTTGCGGGCTTGGGCAACATGAACATGTTAAACTAAATTATTAAAACTTACACTATCAAACGACGTATCTTTTACTCCATTTTCTCTAATTTGGCCAATCAAAATGTTTGCGTTATTAATAAATTCAGCATGGGACGATATAATGGAAGACAAATCATTCGCAGATTCAAAATCCAGTTCGAATTTGTGCAAACATTTGGCAAAAATAAATGAAAATATGTAATGATGCACTCTGTTTAACAAATTGATCAACGCAAACCGCAAATACTTCAACCTCATAATAGTGGATTTGTTACTACACTTTGTAGTGAATTTGGTTTTATTCCTCTCTTTCTTTGGTTCCAAATCTGAAAATGAAATAAGTTTAAAGTTTCCTACAAATACATTATTCTCGTTAGTTATAAATCTGCTATATAAAACGTAGTAAGAGATAGCTTGTATGAAGCTAAGCTAAGCTAAGCTGGACGAATTGAATATCTCCCGCACACTAATCAGATTAGCGAGAGATATAACTAAAATTATCTAAAAAACACTAATTCGGGGAGAACGTTCACACATATATTATTCTTCTATTAGCAAACTCTTGGAGGAAATAGTAACAGACGTCAAATAAAAAACAAGAATAGCATTTTCTTAAAAATTCGCCAATTATAGCCTATACCACAGCCACCTTAGTAGGCAACACAAGTAAAAAAGGCAACCCCGCATTCTATGACGTCGGTAGTCCGATAATCAGCTGTAAGGTCTACCAGAATATTAAACTAATTTGAATTTCAGGAAACTGATATTTTTAAAACTTCAATTCATTACAGAAATATTTTTAGGGAAATTAAATTAATAAAACCTTATATATACCTTGTAAATATATATAAAGTTTTATTATTATTTAGGTTATATTATCAATAAAATAATCACTAGAGTAAAATTTATTGCACTTAAAATACAGTGTCAAACAGTTAATCTTACAATCAAATGCAGTCAAGCATCTCTAGAAATTTTAAATATTAAGTACTTAAGCATATAAATAACACAATATATTAAACGACATTTAAAAAGATTATTAAAAATACAAAAGAAATAAAATTTGTTAAGTAAAAACTTAGTGTAACTATTATGATTAAAAAATTCATCCTGAGAAATCAGACACAATATAAATATGGTTCTAAATTAATCTAATTGAAAATTAAATATTTTACTATTTACTTATAACTTTTGTTGAATTTTCATACTTAGGTATACGAAAGTAGCAATTTTAAATATGAATAGGTTTGTGAAAAATGTGTTGAATGTAACATACCATTTATAACTTGTATATCGATTTAAAATAGCCTATATTCTCAAAAGATTTTTGAATGTAATACTCAAATTTGTTATCACTTATCTAAAAAGCAGATCTAAATGAGAAAGTAAGTTCTCTAATTGTGACCATCTTGTTAATTTACTATATTGTAAAATCCATTTCAAATCATTACCACTTAATCTATTCTTACCTACATTGACGATTACACTAAAATTACTGCTAACTATTACACTACATATTACACGAATATTATCACACTTGTGTCAATTATTACTTTCTAGTATTGTATTTTGAACCCTAAAACGCATTAGGCAGAGTCCGATTGTAAGACACAATTTATGTAACTGTCAAAGTATTCCTATGAGGAATACTTTGAGAACTTCATACTCATAAAAACCAATAGAAAAACAGGAAATGAAGAAGCTGGCTTTTTCAGGAAGAATAAGAAATGTATTGCTGGAGTTAGAAATGAGAATAGTCTTAGCTACTATCTTTTCGTTTAGCTATGTTCCAAATTTATTTGTTTGTTCATGGACTCCTTATTGTGAACAGGCCAGAACATGAAATTTGGCAACAGTGAATAGAAGGTAGATAATTATTTGTATGTATTTGTTTACATATGCATTCTGTTAACAAAAATTTGATTTTATAGGTTATTTTTACTTAATTTTAATGTAACACAACGATCTACATTCACTGGTTTGTTAATTAAGGTAAATATATAGTATACTAGATATATGTATACTAAATAAAATCCTTACATGCTTCAGTGGTTTGTATGATAATGAGATAGATGTCGCATTATTTCAAGTTTCTAGCCCTGAATCGAATCAATGGAAAATCTATTTTCAAAATAGTAATTATCCATTGAATTTCGAAGGCAGAAAATTAGACTTCAATTCAAAACGTACAATCTCCTATCCAATATTTAAAATCAAAGCGTACAATCTTCAATGGTTTTTCTTGTTTTTGTAGTGAATATTTCAAAGCGTGCAATATCATATATAGACTTGTCAATATAAATTTCGGGCTAAAAACGTTTTGTTTTTATATTATTACGTTAGTTGTTAGTTGCACATGATTTGTGAAGCAGCACAGTTTGTTTACTGAAGTAGTATCGTATTTTTTTTTGAATTTTTGAAAGTAATCAGTCGTGTAATGGAGGTAAAAGTTACTCGTAGCTAGTAATAAAGCACGAAAAAGACAACGTATTGCCACATCATGGAAAAGAAGTCAGCAAAGAAAAAATTAGGTAAGTTGCGTCAATTTTTGTATATCTTTGTACAGACACGGATTTTTCTTTAGTTATAGTCCACATTGGTTCTCAATTTATCCGAAATATGGACGAAAAAGTAGTGTTTTTCAATGTACCTTACTACAAATGAATGAACGAAATAAAACGTTTCCAATCTAAATTTTATGTGACAAAGGAGAAAACCTTAGATAACTTTCTGCTGAAATATTGCAAAACAGTTCCCATACAGCGTAAACGCCCAAAAAATTCCCAACATGTTGCAAAAACATTTCAAACACGATTTCATATTCTGATGACTAAAAAAAAATGTTGACTGTGTGCAAGAAAACTTACATGAACGTTTTGGGTATAACAATGAGGCAAATTGATAGTTACAAAAAATTTCTATGAAATTCCCTTTCTGCAAAGGAAAATTGAGGTGGTGATAGAAAGCTGGAAAAGTTCATGTTAAAAAATGCTGTTATAGATTTTATTAACAAATTCCGCGTAATTGAATCTCATTATTGTCGATGACATAGCCAATATCTGGATTCTTCATTGAATATAAAATCGATGTAGAGAATGTACATACTTAAAAGAAAATAAAAATCTTCCAGTAAAAGAAAGCTATTTCAGGAAAATTTTTAATATACAATATAACCTTAGTCTTAGTTCTCCTAATGTTCGACACGCTTACAATCGACAGAAAATAAAAGCGTGCCATGATAAGGACATGAAAGCAAACTTATTTGTCCAAAAAAAGGATTGAGGTCCAAAGCATTTTATAGCCTTTTAAGAGAATGGGATGAAGATGTATAAACGTTTTCTTTGACTGTTAGAAAAATCAAGTTTTACCTAAGATTTCGAATCAACAGGCCTATTATTCACGTCAATTTTATATGTACAATTTTACCGTTGTGGGAGCAATTTCAAAAAGTAATTTAAATCCATCTACTGTCACTTTTTTCTGTCGAACCAAAAACCATTAGAAGACGGGTTCGAACAAGATTGCCTTCTGCATTGATTACTTTCTTGAATCGGCTGGTTTAGAAACGATATTCATACTATCGGCTCATGTGTGATGGATGCGGAGGCCAAAACAAAAACACGACACTCATATGTACGTGTTTTTATTGGTTTTCTAGACAAGATAAAATTAACGTAGTTTTCCCAGTGAGAGGACATTCTTTCATACTCCCAGAGCAGGTTTTTGGCATATTTAAAAAAAAAAAAGGAAATAATTCTGAAACCACATGAATATCTCGAGATGTTTTCAAAGTATAGTACATTTCTAGGGGTGGAGAGGCAGTCGAAGTATATGACTGGAAAATGAAACAAGCAAGCACTGGAAAATCAATAAAAAAACAAACTAAGGACATTGAAAGAATCATTATCTTCTTCTTCCTTCAAGTTCCACTCCTATCGAAGATTGGAAATCATTGGCAATTATAATTTTGTTGGTTACGCGCCTGAATAGTTCAATCGAACTGCATTAAAACCATTCACGGAGATTGCGTAGCCACGAGATTTCACGTCTTCCTACGCTTCTTCTGCCTGTGATTTCTCCCTGCATTATATTCCTCAGTAATTCATATTTTTCACATCTCATGATGTGCCCCAAGTATTCCAATTTCCTGATTTTTATGGAATATAAAACTTCGCATTGTTTTCCTAGTTGTTCGAGAGCTTCTAGGTTTTTATTGTGGATTTTTTAAGTGTCAAAGCTTCAATCCCATACAAAAGGGTAGAGAGAATATAGCATCGAAGCATAGACTTCACCACAACAAAAAGGCTTCTGCAGGGTTGTTCCACATCTCCAACCCTATTCAAAATAAACTTAGAGAAAGCCTTGACTACATGGAAAAGAAAATGCGAAGGCATGAAGTACCGGTATGGAACGAATAACTATATACTTTAAGTTTTGCAGACGATCAAGTAATGATTGCACAAGACCAAGACGACCTCAGCTAGACGATGAAGAAATTACAAGAAGATTATACCAAGGCTGGCCTAGATATTGACCTCGCGAAAACAGAGTACCTATCTACAAGTGAAGAAGACATAGAAGATATAAAGATTGCTGACAACGTAACAATCAAAGGAAAGGACAAATTCAAATACTTGGGGTTTATAATCACGAAAAAGGTAACAACAGAGGAAGTAATTACGCAACGATTAGGACAAACAAGAACAGCAATCCGACAACTTACCTCAGTATGGTGGGATAGACATCTAAATATGAAGACAAAAACACAGATTTATAAAACAAGTATTATTAGTGCGAAGTATTATGGCATATGGGGCTGAAAATTGGATAATAAACAAGAAAAACAGCAGTAAGACAATAACAACAGAGATGGAATGCCTGCGAAGATGCTGCAGAGTAACAAGAATGGATAGGAAAAGTAATGACGAAATATAGCAAAGAACATCAATAGAAACAGACATACTAACATATATAGAACAAAAAAGACTAAAGTGGTATGGACATGTAAGAAGAACTAGCAACAGCAGAGGGATAAAGAGAATAAGCGAATGGAGCCCCATAGGAAGGAGGAAAAGAGGACGACCCCGAAGATCCTGGAGGAACGAAGTAGACGACGCCATGAGTAAGAGAGGCCCAAACGATGGAGAATGGGACAACAGAGAGAGATGCAAACGGTTGAGCGAGGGAAGGCAGTAAATACTGTAGCAGTGAATACTGTAGAATCTCTGAATATATATATATATATATATATATATATATATATATATATATATATATATATATATATATATACATGAAACTACGTTATGAACGTAGTTATCTTGCAGTGAGATATCGTACTATGTAATATATATTGTAATATTAAAAATTCCTATATTTTATACAATTAAAGCAAACAGTCACACAAAGAAAGGAAACATACAAAATTAAAGAAAAATTATTCACTTATATAATATCGGTTGCGTGTAGCGATTATTCTATTGTATTTAAACCAAGCAAAAATAATGAATTAATAAGTTAGAGTGGCACCGCGATTGATCATATCTTCGTATTTTATTAGAAAGTAAAAGTTAATAAGACACCATGAAAATCCATAATAATGCTAAAATGGATTAATTTTTTGTGTGTTGGAATAGTTAACTATACGTTATTATCTCTGAATTCCTTATTTGCGTTTGTGAGACCCAAATAGACGCTTAAATTCTAATAAACGCATTAGTAAATACCTACCGGTAAAAGATAGATGGTTCAGTGTATAGAGTCCCCATTTAATCTTCAGAATAAAGTGAAATATATCCTTGTATATCGTCATTTGAGATGAACTGATAATGATATTTAATGGCCACGGGATTTCTATGTTAACGCTGATCATATTGCAAGCCTCGAGTGCGTCATTGCAAGCTTTCCAATTTTTATTGACCTGAACGCAACAATTTTCATAAAAATCCGGGTAAATATCCATAATTATGTCTTGAAGATGAGAAGTAAGCCATATGTCGTTTCCCCAGTTTTTACTTTGAGCATAAACCTAAAAATAAAGTCAAAAATTTCAAATAAAACCAACAAAAATGATATATCTATAAAAATGATACGTAAAGTTCCTCTAATACCCTTCTTTCAGTCGTGGCGGGCTTTTTGTTTTGCGCATGTCGAATATTACTGCCTGCAATTTGACACAAACTTGTCAGCTATCAGGATTGTATTAGCCAAATGTGCACGAGTTATGAAATTAGAAACTTATGTTATTACAATTTGAATCAAGAAACAGAACTTGTGTTTTTACTTACTTTTATATAAACTATTGTATAGCATTTTTCATATAAAAAAGCTTGCACGTCATTCAAGATTTACGACGTCAGGGCCCCACAGCGTTGCCAAAACATCAGAATAGTTAGTAAGTGAGGAATTTTTAAAATGTGAACTATTTGTCAAACTATTATATTCACAGTAAATACACTTAGTTTTAAGACTACTGCAACACATTAAAATACATAAGAAAACATTTTAATACAAAATATATATATTTTAAATTTTAAACCTAACGCTTTTAGGGCTTAATAGTAAAAACGTCCCGCCATTATTTCTTGTTCAAAATAATCTATCGTATATGAAAGCTTATCAGCTTTCTACAGACTATTTATTTGTTTTGGTATAGCAAAATCACAATACACAACAATAGTTAGTGTTTAAAGCTATTAATCTAAATTTAATATGTATTTCACCTTATCAGAACAATTTCCAGTACCAAAAGGCTTACGACAAGGATGTTGCCTCTCTCCAATACTATTTAAGATCTATTTAAATGAAGCACTAAAATACTGGAGAAGATCCTGTTCAGGAATAAGGGAATGAAGTAAAAGATCTAATGGTTAAAGAACATGAAACAATCAAGAACTGTGAGGAATCTATATATATTTGGGAACAACAATCAACAAGAGTGGGCGCACCGAAAAAGAGATAGAGCAAAGAATCGTGAAAGGAAAAAGGGTGATAGGATGCCTAAACCCGATGCTATGGTTAAAAGAACTATCAAATCAAAGAAAGCATCTCCTCTTTAACTCCATCTTTAAAAGTATAGTGCTCTATGGATGCGAAACATGGCAACTTACTAAATCCCTTGAGCGACGCCTACTTGCATTGGAAATGGACTTCTGGAGAAGATCAGCTAGAAAATCAAGGCTTGATAGAATACAAAATGACCATATCAGAAATATAATGGGAGTCAAGTCAACCATCATTGACGAAATTCAAAGGAGACAACTGATCTGGTATGGTCATGTGAAAAGAATGGACGACGACAGGCTGCCAAACCAAATTTTAAAATGGACGCCAAGGGAAAGAAGGAAGAGAGGAAGGCCAAAACAATCCTGGCTGGGCGGCATTCAGAAGGCAATGTCGGAAAGAAACCATCACCCTGGCGAATGGAATGACCGACGTAGCTGGAACCTGGGAACCGGAAGGCGGAGAACGCTATAAAAAGCCGGGATAATAAAATAAAAAAATAATATGTATTTATAAATACAATTTATTAATATATATTATATTATGATTCAATTGTGTAAGAAATCAAAACATAAACAAAATCCCTACCCTAAAAAAGCGGCAACACTTTATACATTTTGCCACACGCTGAACTGTCAATAAAATTTGAAGTATTTCCGTATCAGTTGCGTACAATTGTCTAATATATTCAATTAAAATTATTATTTTGTGGAATATTAGACTTAATAGAATTAAAATTTATTTCATAAAATTTATATTATTAATAGTAACAAATGTTTTTGGTTATTTAATCAATATAATTCTTAAATTTCCAATATAATGATGAGTACATTTTTCTGATTATTACACCATGTTGACGCCTATGAAAGATCGAGCATTTGAACTCTAAGGTTGACGTTCTGGAAATTTTAAATATAAGTGACGTCACTTTATGTGTATAAAGTGGCGTCACTTATATTTACAATAAATAAAAATACAAATTGTGACGTGCAAGCCTTTTTACATGAAAAATGCTATAAATTGTATTATTTGGAAATAAATAATAGTTTATAACCAAGTTTGGATACAATTTTAATTGGACAATAATATAACAATTATAAGAGAACATAAACATTAACAGCTTAAGATATATAAAAGCCTACGGAGAAAGCATTTGTTTTTTAAAGAGTAGAATAGGCATGTGCAAAATCTAGACCTTTCTATCCTTTAATGGGCGATCTTCCTTCAGAACGAGTTACTCATTCGTTTCCCCTCAGAGTTACAGACGTAGATTACACAGCTTCCTTTCTCCTTAGGGTCAAACGAGGCAGAAATTCTTCCTACAAGGTCAGTCTTTCATTTTACTTAGCACTAAATCAATTCAACTTGAATTTGTAACCGACCTAAGTATACAAGCCTTTCTTTCCGCTTGTTTCTTTCTCAAACCAAAACGACGGTATTGGAGACTACCATTGTTGTGAGAAGAACTAAAGTACTTGTATTTCTAGTTATATAGACTATACTATTTATTGTGTTATTTTACTTAATGTTAATCTATGTTAAGGATATTTAATTTTAATCGTTGTAAGTCCAGCCTTTCAATGTGACGAGTTTGTTAATGTAAATTGTATAAACTTGTATACATCTTGTACACATCTGTATTGTAAGCGTTTTAGTAGTACTCATAACAGAATACATTTTATCTGCCTTGCGGGAGAGATTTCAGGAGAAGTTGAAATTTGCCTTTTTGCTTCATTAGTATTATTGCTGTTTGCTGTAGTTGTTGAAGGTATATTGTATGTTGTCAGCGAATCATTCGTCTTTGAGATATCTGCACAGTTAGGGTTGGAACAGTTGGTTGTATCATCTGAAATGTTTGTTGCTAAATTATTTTGATTTACTTCCATGGATTTGAGTTCTGAGATATATTTTTGTGTCATTTGTGGTAAATGTTTCTGTACCAGTCGATGTTGACATGCAGTTTTCATCTCTGTGTCATCAGTATTACATCGTGAGCAATTTAAACCATCTAGGGATAGGAAGATTATATAAGGAGTGTTGTCGTAGTTTATTAAGATTGAGTTTGGAATTGGTTTGATAATTATCAGGGAGACAGATATTTGCCGACTAAAGCTTAAGACATGGATATACGCAGATTCGAGCATACCAACTTTCAAAAACGTTAATTTGTAGACTAAGGTTAGTTCAAGTTGTTTAAGTTCATCTTCTATAACACTGTTCGGAATGATGTTTGATGGGCAGATGTTTGATATCAGTGGCCTCCTTGCTGGCGTAATAAGTCCTCGAATTCTTATCTCATTGCCTTGGATGACTACGGTTTTATGGTAATTTAGTAAGGTCTCTACTATGCTAGTATTTTTTAAGTCAATGCAAACTCGGTTGTTGGCTATTCGTGACGCAAAGATAACATTTTTTGGTGTGAGTAGAGATCTTATGGCTACTATGTATTCATGTATTTTATTACCTGAGTTAGCTTACAGGATAATGGCTTGTTCTTTTGAAAGAAAACTGAAGTTGCTTACTGCAATGAAATATGTCGTTGTTGATGATATAATAGTAGGTATGGCAATATTTTCAAAATCACCCATTTTTAATTTTTGTTTTCTTCATTCCATAGAATTTTATTATAAACCGCTAAAAGCGGTAGAAAAACTAAGCGTAGGGATGAAATCCTATTGGTGTCTTTGAAAATACTAAAATTTTAAGTTCTGGAAACAATTAGATGTAAACTAAACATTTCACTATGACGAATTACCGCATTTAGTATATTTTGTAGTTTAGAACGGTATCAGCGTACCTGATGTCTATTCTAGTTCCGTTATTCTTGATTCTACCTTGGATTTGGTCAAATAATTCTCTGGATATAGACTTCAAATACAGATTAAATAGTAGCTGTGATAAGAGGCAACCCTGTCGTACTATTCGTCGGATTTGTATGTCTTCAGATGTTATATGCTCTATTTCAATTGTTACCGTTTAGTGCCAATATAGTTCTGAGATAATTCGCAAGTCTTGTTCATTCATTCCAATTCTCAGAATGTTGACCATTTTTTGATGAGTAACCCATAATCAGGGTACCGATATTTCATTGGTTAATTCTCATTAATAACCAATTCCTTTGGTAATTTCTCAACAATAAAATTAAAAAAAAGCAATGGATAGGAGGAAGAAACTATCCTGGTTGATAAGTTTGCGACAGTGGATAGGTTTAACAGCAGACCAATTGCTACATGCAGTCCAAGACCGATATCAAAATAAAGAGTATTATAAACAAGGTAGTTACCCACGTTTCATAGGAACATGGCGCCCTAAAAAGAATGTATCACAGCCATAGGAACATGGCGCCCTAAAAAGAATGTATCACAGCGGACGAGATAAAAAGACAGTCACCGATATATGAACAAATATTTCTACATGATAGGTAGCGGGAATCATTGTGATAAAATGCAAAATGGAGGAAGAAACTGGAAAGGAGTTATAAATGTGCTCTGTGGATGCGAAATGCTTACGCTTAGTGATATGAGTGTGTAAGTCACCCATTGGTGGATTTTAATTAAAAAGATAGGGTTAGGTACACAGGTTTCACGATAAAGTATTAATGACCAGCATTGTTGTAACTCTCTTTCTTCTTTTTTCATTTATATGTAAAATATGTAATATCGTGCTTTAATTTTGTTTTAAATTTTAAATAAAGTGCAAAGAATGTAATGGTGAAATTATATTTAAACAACAAAAAGATAGAGGTATTGGATTCAAAATTTGTTTCGATTGTTGTGGGAGAAAATTTATTAAATCTTCACCTACAACAACTAAAAATCTGTACGAAATAGATCAATTTATGTTATTATTATTTGAAACAATAGTTTATAATCTTACCTTAATAAAAAACCGTCTGTAGAATGGAAAAATTAAATTGTCAAAAAACAAAAAAATATGTCGAAGAAACTGAAACTGTTTTTCGAGATGATGCTGTTCGATCAGAATTTTCTTCACTTTTAATCCAGATATTGTAAAATGTTCTCTGAGAATTGTATTTAGTATTTTTTCAAAGAAATTTGTTACTGGGAAGAAAGTTTTAGTAGTCTTGGATATCCTAAAATAGAGATAAATGTAAACATTTACAAATATATCAATATTTTTAATAAATTATATATGGCATTTTCAGTATCTTCCTTGCATACTCTCAGTTAAGAACAAAATTAATATTCCTTCAACCTTTAGCCTAGACAATATTTATAGAAAAATGTTACTTGGACTTACTTTTCATAAAGAGTCATTTCCTCACTTTTTTGCTGAGTTTCCTCAGACTTAAAATAATCTTCAAAAGCTAACATTAGAAAACCATCAGATGTATCAACTAAATTTTCTAGTTTATCCATTTCCGTGGGTTGAGAAATATCATCAGACCATATAACAGGAAATTTGTAAGATATTTCTCCTTCTTTAAATTCTTTGTCCGTTTCACATGTATCTTCAGGCATCAAGTCACTATCAAAGAAGCTGCACAATTCCTCTAAGCTTCTTCTAACAAATTCTTCATAAATTGTTTCTATGAAAAAACAAAACGTTTTAAAATATAGTATAATACGGGCGGTAAAAGTTTAAGAAATAAGACCGTTAAGTTTGAAAACACCATAAAATAAAAACAATGTCCAATACATCTATCAAATAATTTTCCCATTTTGTATTTTTATCAACGTTTATGTATGTTTTGTCTATCAATGAGTGCTGCGACCTTCTATGATATATTATCCATTTCTTCTTCATGTCGCATGATCTACTTATTTAAATTTTGTTATATTTTACTGTGTATTATAACAGCGATTGTTGAATAATGAGCTTCAAAATGTTTTGTTGTATATGCAATTCAGTTTTAACATGGTTTTAAAACTATTTTCATAGATAAATAATATAATAGTAGAAATAGATAGGCAACTCAATGTATAAATTTCGTTCATTAGGCCCCTTGCGGCTGGGGTCAATACTAATCATCTTTTGGCGGCAAATTCGAATGAACACCCCTTACATACATACCCTTTAGCGCCTCTTGTGGGCTATTTCGTTACTAATTAAAATTTATTGGAAAATAAGGATATAAGATGCACAATTTTTTCTAGATATACGTATATTTATTTGTTGTTTAAGATAAAACAGTTATAAAATAATTACATAATATTTATTACACATATTTGCAGAAGTTAAATACTATTATTTTTTGCTTTCTGACAACTTACTATCATTCTTTTTGTAATTTTTCCATGATTTGTACACAACGAACAATACAATCATTCACCATGTTTAGTTTTGTTACTAGCACAACACAAAAATTCTTTGCTACAATAGGTAACTCAAAATAAACTTTAAAAATTAAGTAACCAAATTTAAATTAAAATTACTAAGAATAAATGCAAACGAAAGTTAAAGATAATAAAATAAAATTGAAAACTTGTAAACAAACGGAAGATCTGTCATTAATTTGGATTGACAGAATTGACATTGCTTCGTTTGATTATTTTATTTGGTTTATGATTGGTTAAAGTCTTCGTGAGAGAGATAGGCTGTCATTTCTCTTTATTAACTCGCTGGGGTCAAAGTGATGGGGGAATGAACCAAGTCATTCATATAAGATTCCAGGCCATGACTATTTTCTTGACTAATGAGCCAGACCCACTACTCTGAGCCGCGTAATGTAGGTTGCCTACTATGAATTTGAATCGGGGAAATTACTGACAGACTTGCGCATGACGTCCGACATCAAATAATCATTTTTTACTAAAATATTAAAAGAAAAATATTAGAATTTTTATTAGAGCATGCAATTGTAGCTCTATCATATGATTTAATGACTCCCTTTTTAATATATATGTTGTGATTTGATTTATAATTTAGATATATTTTCATATGTGTTGGTTTTTTGTATACATGAGTCCCATATCTACTATTTTCCTTTGACATTAAAACACCCAGAAAAGGTAACGAGTTATTTTATTTCTTTTCCATTGTAAATTTTATTTATATCCATCATTTTTATTTATGAAATGTCTCCAACAAATCATCTACATATTTCCAACATATTGTGGCTTTAAATTTTGATTAGGAATGTTTGTTTTGAATTCTTCCATCAATATATTAGCTAATAATGGATTTAAAGCACAGCCCAAAAATTTTGTTTACAGAAATCATTGTTAAGATGAAAATAAGTGTTGTCAGTAGATAACAGTCTGTCAGTCAACAGTTCCATTATAGCTGATACATTTAATTTGGTTCTAGTTGCTAATCTATCATTTTGTAATTTCGTCCTAATTGTTTTCAAAGTTCTATTCAAATCTAATGGCATATTTATAAAGAGACTATTTATTTATATAAAAACTTACATATTGCATATACAAATCAATGTACCAAATTATATTAACATTTAAAAAATATAGATAATTTTAATAAAATTTGTGATTTTTTCTATCTAATCGTTTTTTTATTTAAGTCAAGCATAGCCACAGCTATACAGATCCATATTTATAGTAATATATTTTCCGTTTGGTTTTTGAATAATATATCTACAAAAAAGGTGCTAGATATTTGATTCCTTCATGACTTATAATGTGATTTTTTTGTGGGTGGAGCATAGAGCTTCAGTGAAAACGCGCCATCGGGTTCTATTTTGCGCTAAGGACTTCACCTCATTCCAAGACTTTCCTTGGCCTCTTATCTCGTCCATGATGGATCTTCTCCAAGTTTGTACTGGGCGACCTCTTTTTCTTTTCCCTTGGGGATTCCACTCTAGGGCAGTCTTTGCGATACTGGAACTATTTTTTCGGAGTGTGTGACCGATCCAACCCCACTTTCTGGACTTAATTTCATTTTGTTCCCTCTTTTGTTCGGTCAGGTGTAGCAGATCTTCGTTTATGATGGTGTTAGGCCAGAATATGCGGACAATTCTTCGTAGACATTTATTAACAAAGACCTGCAGTTTGTCTGTGAGGGTGTTTGTCACTTTCCAGGTTTCACATCAGTAGAGTAGAACAGACATGACATTTGATCGGAATATTCGGATCTTTGTCCTTGTAGTATACTCGCCAGATCTCCAAAAAGGGTTGAGCGTGCTGAAAGCTTGTTGGGCTTTTCGTATCCTCATACGAATATCGTCTTCCGTACCTCCGTTTTCTGTTATGACACTTCCAAGATAGGTAAAGTTTTCCACATTTTCAATCCATTGGTATCAAGTCCTTTATTGTTTTTACAGTTCTTTATGACTTATTTCTTCTTTATTTGTACCTATACCAACTATCTTCTTTGCTATTACTGATCCAACTGCTGTTACTGATTTGTTTTAACTTTTTCCAATTGTCCTAATCGTAATAAACTGTTTTCACGTTCGGAGCGTCTGTAAATAGCCGCTCCGAAGATTCCTTTTAGGATGAAATACGTATAAGCGGATATAAAGACGCACTATACGTGAAATCAAATTTTAACTGTCTTTCCTGATAAAACTACATACAACAATACGTACCCGTGTTTTCGTTTAATAGAGAAAAATCCTCCAGTAATCGAATCAAATGAAGATTTTTGCCTATCTGTAAAACGGTCGTGCTGATTATGTTCAATATTCCATCTTCTCTGCACACTTTCCCCGCACCGGTTGAGATTTCTGGATTTAGTTTAAAATAATCAGTACCAGTAACCCTAGAAAGTAAAAGAAAATACAGATTATCGAACCTTAAAACTTACCTATGCCCAAGTAAAGCATATGTTTGGTAAGGTTTTAGTTTTATTCTATAATATATGATTGAAGCCGAAATCTGTGGTAGTATGACAAGTGGTGTGGTCCCAGGCATGTAGGCCAACAAGAAAGACGGGATATCGTAAACATATGATAGGAAAAAACAAACGATATCCGCCGTGAAGCTCAACAAACACCGAAAAGTCCAGCGAATTACCGTAAGGGAGCAGCGAGAAAAGGTTTGAGTTGAGGTAACTTCTTGCAGCAGAAAAAGCTCGTAATCATATATATTGCTATGATATTTTGTTTGATTGTATTATTAGCAATGAGTATTTTTAAATAATATATATAGGGTTTTTGTCACGGTTCTCAAAGAATTAGTTTGTATGTTCTTTTAAAATTATCTTTATTACAATTATCAGGAAACAGACATATATATCTAATTCAGACAATATTTTAATATAAATTTAAAAAACCTCTTTAAACTGAAGATCTTATTACAATAATTAAATTATACTAACAAAATTTGGTACCTTCCTGTCACTGAATGCCTAAATGAAATGGTTTTCCAAAATAAAGGTTTTAATCGCCACTCAATGTCTCAGTTATCAGCCTCTGGTTATCCTTCTTTTTATGAGATTGCTTTCCAAAATAGACCACAATGTTTCAATTAGCAGCTTCCACCATTTTAAATTATTTTTCTTCTTATTAAAATTTATACTTGAGTAAAACATTATTTCTTCTTTATTGTGATTGACTTTTAATTATTAATAATTTATATATTATTGTTTGTTTGATTTCTTTTCTATGAAAATTTAACAAAAACTTGACTTTTTCCAAAAATGAATTATGACAGTTTGAATTCTCAATCATTAATCTTCTTTCCGCTCAAAGTGACAGCGTATTTATAGATATTTCAATGTTCGCGAAAATTCTTGAACGAAAAGAGGTTAGATTCTTTCTATTTAGACTTTTTGACGTCTTATTTTTAAACTTCTAGAAAGTTTTTTCTTTTCTATTTCAATTTTTATGGAAATTTAGGCTTTTCAGACCAGAATGAAAACATATATAAATTAAACATCTTAAATTAGTAAATAACACTATTTTAATCCATAATTATTATTTCAAATGTCCACTTTCTGTTCAACTTCACCTGAATTCACTGTTCCATATCACTTTCATTCACAAAATGTCCCAATGAGACCGTTTATTTGCAATCTACAACTTAGACAATAAAAAAAATAATTAAAATTGAAATAAATTGGCATAATGGCTGAGTGGTCTAGCAGACACACTTCGAAATATATCAAAAGCAGCAGTATAACATCTAAAAGAAATCCAGAAATCGAATCTGCCGTAGGATGAGTAATATGGAAAAAAAAGTACGCGATAAAACCGAATATATTAGTAGTAAAATGGAAATAAACATTAAAAAAAAAAACAAAAAAAATGTATTTTATGATTTTAGAAAACCACATCTAATGTTTGTCACTAAATCCGTATTTAATCTTCTTGGATGCGGTTTACAGCTAAAGATTTGTATAACATGAGACAGAAAATTAGGATAATTCTGGTACCGAGTATTACAATACTTACTTTGTTATTATAAATTCATCAGAATAATCACTGAGATCATTTTTCATAAACCACGAATGTATCACAGTAAAATAATGGTATAAACTTTCTATATACAAAGTTACTCTCAGATTTTGGTCCAACTTATTAACAGAATGCTGTAAACTGTTGTGAAGACGTGCTAAAAGTGTAGTAGCACATATGATGTTACTGTTTTCCGAAAACCTAATAATTACAGTATCATGTAGTTTTTTCAATAAGATTACTGGTTCGAGAATTTCTTGAAGATCTTGGGAGAGATTAAGTAGAGTATACGTTGATTCTAAAAATAATTATTATATTAAAAGCAAATACTAGGAATAGTTTAAAATGTAAAATTTGAAGTATGTTTAGTTGATGTTTACACACTGCATATTCTCTTTATCAGTAACATCATATTAGCAATTTTTTATTAGTATTTAAGATTTCTTACAATCTGTTTCACAATAAAAACAATAAGTAAAATTGTTTGTATTTACAAGATCAGAGAGATGCTATGTCCAGTGACCAAACCAGAACACAAATATTGGCTTGTTTACCAGTGGGATGTGGACATACGAGGTCTGGCTATTAAATAAGGAGATTGCTTATGAAAAAGAGTTTTATTTTAAATTATTCTACAATCGAATGCTCTCCTTCAATATATTCCCCTTCCCTCGCTACACACCGTTCCATTCGTTTTTTTTTTCATTGGTCAAAGCAATGCTGGAAGTCTCCTTTTGCTAGATTTTTTTGAGCTCCGCCGTTTTTCGCTTCACCTCTTCCATCGACTTGAACCGGATTCCTTTTAACGCAGACTTGATCTTCGGAAACAGGAAGTAACAGGGTGCTAAATCAGGCGAGAACGGCGGGAGTTCGAGCACTGGAATACCTCTAGCGGCTAAATAACGCTTTGCAGACAGCGCGTTATGGGCAGGTGCGTTATCCCGGTGCAAGATCCACGGCTGGCTTTTCCAGCAACTCCGGCCGTTTCTTACGAACTCTCCAAAACTTTCAAATAGTAAGTTTGGTTTACAGTTTGACCCTCTGGAACTCATTCAGTCATCACGATGCCGTTAATGTAAAAAAAAAACGATTAGCATGGCTTTAAATTTTGATTTCGACATTCTTGCTTTTTTCATTCTTGGCGAGGCAGGAGTTTTGAAATGCATGGATTGTCGCTTAGTTTCAACATCGTATTTGAATATCCAGGTTTCATTGCAAGTGATTATGTTTTCCATTAATTCAGGCTCTTCATGTAACCTCTCAAAATCTGAGCAGATCTGCTGACGGACGAGCTTTTGGTCAGGGGTCAAATTTTTTAGGACCAATTTCGCAGAGACTTTCTTCATGTTCAATTCGTCATGTAAATTTTTTCTCACAGTTTCTTTATCGGCGTTTACAGTATCAGCAATCATCCGAATGCTCATACGACGATGTCCGCGCACAATTTCATTTATTTTGGTCACTGTTTGCGGAGTTGAAACAGATACAGGTCGACCTGGACGTTGGTCATCTTCAGCGCTCTCTCGGCCTTCGTTTATACCATTCGAAAACACGCGCACGAGATAGAGAATTCTCACCATAGGCCTCTTTCAACAAATTATAGCACTTTCAGTTTTTTAAATTTAACGAAAAATTTCAGACATGGATGGCGCCTTGTCATAGGCCAAGATTGCTGGACTGTACTGTATTGTCTTGACCTGGACATAGTCCCGATCTAAATCCAATAGAAGTCGATTAGTACAAGATACCACTGCAGGATCACTACGTTCATAACGTAGTAAATCAAACTCACATTTTTACATAAATTTAAAATTAGATTGTGTCTGATTGACCTAAAGAAAGCGTTTGACAGAGTAAGATTCAAAGATGTAATTCATCTTCTGTATAATAGAAAAGTTCCTCTAAATATTATAAAAACTATCGAAAACATCTACCAAAACAACAAAATGGAAGTCAGAATAGATGGACAACTTATAGAACCTATAGAAATAGGCAGCCAAATAGAATCTGCAAAGACTGGTCCACAGATTGAAGATAAGAGCAATAGAATTTAATATGACAATTTGACTTGACACATTTTCTTGACTTAGTATTACGCCGAAACCCAAGTAACAAGAGAGAACTGATAGAAGCTATTATTCAAAAGTGGTTTAGAGTTATTACACCTGAAGATTTGGCTCACCTTGTGAACTCCATGACTGGGAAAATCCAGTCTGTTCTAAAAAACAAAGTGTTATCCCACCAAATAATAATTTTCTTCATAATAACCATAGTGCCATTTTTTTTTAATACATCTACTAATAACTAGCTGCTGTTGTTTGTATATATTTTTTTTTAATTTATAAAATACGACATTTAACATTAAGTAGAAGCATAAACAGATGCAATAAAATTATAGATAATCTTGAAAATAATGCAAGTCGTGAGAAAATGGGGAATGCTGCTAAGAGAACTAAAATGTTTGTAGAGTTTCCAGAATTTTAGTCACCAGTGTGTAACGCTCATCATCTAGGAAAAATCACAGTAGATATATTATTTTCATATTGGTCTAAGTATAATGCTGTTGACACCGATTGCATTGTTTATCTCTAGCTTATAATTGCTATACTAGGTATTCTAGAATTTATCATTAATTTATTACACTGAAATTTTCTGCTATTCACTATTGTGTTTATTGACGTTTCAATTTCAACTTCGAGGAGAACGATTTCCGAAGTGGAAATTGAAACGTCAATAAACGTATTTTTATCTTTAATTGTGGCTTATTCCCAGTTAAATTGTAATTAATTCCCTATTGTGGTTATAAGTGATGGATTCATTTAAAAAATTTACCTTGTTCTCTTATAGTATCTTCCAATTGTGATAATTTCAAATACACTGGCCTAATTAAACGTTGAAGTGAACTGTTGTAGCTTCTGTATGTTTGTGGAATTAACATAATAGTTTCCTCACTATGGATGGACAATTCTTTTTCAAAGTCTCTAAAAAAATCTAGCAGTTGTATGTACGGCATTATTTGATTCTCAACAAAATTTTCAAAACTAGCCTAAAAAAAAGTAAAACTTACATTTTTTATTGGAAATAGGAATAAATCTATGAGGTATGTCTCAAAAATATCTAAAGTACGTTAACAACTCCACAATGCTTTATTTGCCGTTATCTGGCTCATGTTTACTTTGGAAATATTGGTCATTCAACTAAACAACTCTTCCATCAATGCTCAAGCTACTGTATTTAAATCAGTTTTTTAATGGTCTTCAGTGCCACCGTCAAATTTGTTTGAATCGTCTGAATTTTATCTTCTTCTTCGTGCGACTAGGATTACTCCTGTTTGTCTGCCTCTTATTCTGTTTCAGTCGTTGTTGACTGTATATTATCTTTCCACCTTTTTGGCGGATTTCCAACGGGTATTCTGCTATACGGTTTGTTGTTTTTACAGATATTTGCTAATCTACCTGGTCCCATTCGGTTTACATGTTCGTTCCAGTTTTTTTTTCTTGTTTTTATCCACCTGTTAATATTTTGAATTTTGCATTTTTCGCGTATACTTCTGTTGGTTTATCTGTCACTTAATGATATGCCCGCTATTGATCTTAATACTTTCATTTCGATATTGTTGATTTGTTGTTTCGTCTTTCTTGTATCGGTCCTTGTCTCCGCTGCATATGTTAGGATTGGTCTTACTGTTGTCTTGTATACTTTCATTTTGCTTTCCGTGGTCAGATATTTGTTTCTCCAATATGGTTTCTCGGAGGCAACCACTTACTCTTGATGCTTTTAATGCTTGGCTTGTGGTCTCTCTTTTTATATCCCTGTCACTAGTGATCTCTACTCTTAGGTAATTGAATTTCATTACTTGCTCTACAATTTTACCGTCTATTTCTAGTTTGCATCTACGCGGCTCTTTACTGATCACTATATATTTAGTTTTTTCTACTGATATTCTCATATTAAGTTTGTTTGCTGTAATATTGAAGGTGTGGAGCTGCTTTTGTAGGTGATCTTCGTTATCAGCAATTAGTACTGCATCATCGGCATAGCATAGTATCGTGATTTTATGCGCTCCCATGTGGTATCCGTTTCGTTTTCTTACTTCATGAATTATTTGATTCATCACCATATTAAATAACAATGGGCTGAGCGAGTCAACTTGGCGGATTCCTCCTTTTAGTTCTTATCCATTATGTTTTTCCTGTTGGCATTATATCTCTGGTTTTGTTGTTCTTGTTAATTTCATTAACTGTCTTTATTATTTGATGGTCTATTTGTTCAGATTGTAATAAATTTAAGATGCCATTTTGCTTTAGCCTGTCAAAAGCACTTTTTAAATCTACAAAGCACACGTATGCTGGTTTTCCATATTTAATAGACTTCTATATTATTTGTCTGATAATAAAAATTGTGTCTATTGTGCTGTGGTTCTTCTGGAAGCCTTGTTGTTTATCTGCTATGTTTGCTTTTTCCTCGATTTTATCTTTTATGACTGCCGTTAACAATTTTAATGTACTATTCATCACACTAATGCCTCTATAATTTTCAGGAGCATATAATTTTGTAAGCATAAAAATTAGCAGCATGCTATGTCGTGTGTACTGAGATTGGCGGAATTATGTAACCTTGCGTGTTGCCAAAAACTATTGTACACAAACAAACCTCCCCATTTGCTAAAAACATAAGACCGTCTTCTTCGCACTGAGTCACGAAATGTTTTTAGAACTTAACAACACCTTTATAGAATTAAGCAAATTATCAAGTAATTTATACTTACAGATCTCACACTGGATATAGTAATATTGTTCCTAGGCTTTAGAAGTTTTTCTTCAAAATAAAAAACTGAAGAAGTGTGTGGCTCCCACAATTGCCACAAAATTTCTCTGATAACTTTATATTCTGATATTACATTGGATTTATTCATAACAACTAAATTCATTGCTTGCTTTTCTAGAAAATGTTCCCTAAAACATGGGTATTAAGTTTTAATAATATTAGTGTATAGAACATAGTAATTGTATTAAAAAGTAAATAGAAATGATTATTTATGACTTAATTAACGCTAGGATTTTTTAATTATAAAAATGAAACTCTAGGCTATATCAATAAGAGGCATATTACCAATACCTATACTAATATAGTCGATAACTACACTACCAGCTAAATAAAAGCTGATACTTTGGTTTTCTCCTTTTCATGTCTATTTCTTTCATGACTATTGATGCATCTTTCCATTGTACCCTGTGCTCATTGTTCCAGGCATGTCATTTTATCTGTGATTTGTCATTTCCTGATTGTCAAATGTCGAAAAAGTCTTTATTTTTGATGGATGTTTAATGCTTGTTTATCCTGACACTTGGTGGTCATGCAGTTTCTCCCACATAAAAATTGTTGCATTGAGAGGGTACTTTTTAGATGCAGTTCTTTGATCTCTCTTGTGTGCTGTTAGGTTTGTTTTGAACACAATAGATCTCAGTGTATTAGTTGTTTTGAATGTTGTGATGTTGTACTGATTTCCTATCCTTTTTAATTTTTCAGATAATATATTTTTAAATCCCTTCTTGTAGCGTTTCTGGATTTACTTTGATAGTGTTTTCTTGTTTCCATTCTTGTAACTTGTAAAACTTCTTGTTTATAAATAATGAAAATGGGTAATTTTTTTTAAACAATTTCTGAAGTGGAAATCGAAACTTCAAATAACAAATATAAAATGTAATTTTCATTGCAATCAATTGTGGTTTAATCTCATGTAAACATGATTCATAATATAAAATAGATAAATAGATTTTAAACAGGCATACAGATAATCTAACATCACAACTCTTTTTCAATAATAAAAAAAATGTGAAAAAATTAATAACGAAAAGCATAATGTTAAATATATTACCAGAGAATTCCAATGTTTGCTTCTCTTCGCTTACTAAATGGAATATTAAAAAATATATTTTCATTGTACCATGTATGCTGAACTGTATTCAACAGTTCTTCTCTGTTTGCTCTAAAATTCAATACGACATCTGTTTCACATCTAGGAATAACCACAGCTGAGGATGTTGTAGGTACTTCAAAACAATCTGGAATATCTCTATCATCAGTAACTGAAGATACATCAGAAGCATCCTGAAAATAGTAATAAAAGTATGCCCTTAATACCTAAGTTCAGATTAAGAATTACAATTGCATTTGAGAAAAATAATAACATACATTAACAATTTATGATGTGTGATGCTGTTGATGAAGCTATGTGAACCTAGTTGCATCAGGAATGTTGAAGAGGTACACCAATTGGTGGCCCAATTTTGGCTATCCACTGGAAGATTAAGAATGGATTCAAATTGTAATGGCCCTTACATGATCATTAATAATGACATTATCAGTAATAACATTACTTGCAAAATTCACATCATTCCATATTATCATTACACTTCAATCCTACACAATCATTTTTACTGTTATTACTTTCCTTCAATATATTTGTCCTCTTTGTATTAACAAGTCATATATAATAAAATGGATCCACCAAGAACCACTTGTGTTGCTATAATTATGACATTAGCTACAAAAAGGTGAGTAAAACGTAAACAATGGATGAAGAAGTGGTTGAAAAAATGACTTGTTAATAGCAACTCTAGTCCTTGCAGATACTTCACCTAAAGACTAGCAACCCCAGACGTTGCCATGTGATAATTCCTTTTATAACTTAAACATACTAGTTTTTAAATATCAAAGATGTAAGTTAAAATAACTACATTTGCCTGAAATGGATGAAAATGCTCAAGAGCACATAGTCAAAGCCCACCGATGAAGAAATTCAGAAGAGCCAGTTCAAAATTGACAATCACAAGTACAGAGCCCCTGGTTTAGACAATCTTTCTGTCGAACTCTTTAAAAATGATGGTGACACCCTTTTTAAAGAGGCCTTTTTAAACACATGCATAAATTAGTAACCCAAATCTGGCAACGGAAGGAAACACCTGCAGACTGGAAATTAGGTGTAATGCACCCTCTTCACAAAAAGGGAGATATGTGGGGTGTGATAATTATAGAGGCATCACCCTACTTAATGTGGCATATAAAGTATTGTCCAACATATTGTACAGAAGATTGATCCCCTATGCTGAACAAATAGTTGCGAACTACCAGTGCGGTTTCCGCCCCAATAAATCAACAACGGATCAAATCTTCATAGTCAGGCAGATTCTTGAGAAAAAGCTTGAGTTCGTACAAGACACCCACCACATATTTTTGGATTTCAAAGCCGCATATAACTCAGTGAACAGACAAAAACTTCTACAGGCCATGGAGGAATTTCAAATGCCGATTCATCTTGTTCAACTAACGGAACTTACACTCACAGACGTAGAGAGTGTAAGCAGAATCCAAAACGACTTTTCAAGACTCTTCCATTGTAAAAATGGACTGAGACACGGAGATGGACTGTTGTTTCTCTTATTTAACCTTGCACTAGAAAAAGTAATTCGAGAGTGTGATATTAATATAAATGACACCATCTTTAATAAATCTGTACAAGTGCTCTGATATGCAGATGATGTAAACATTATTGCTGGGTCCACAGAATCTCTGATTGAAGCATTTCTATCATTAAGGTCTGCACTGGGAATGGGATTAAAAATAAACGCACAGAAAACCAAGTATATGTATTGTACTAGATCAAGCAACCAGATACGTAGACTATTAATTGATGATCTGGAACTGGAAGGTGTGGACACCTTCGTCTACCTAGGCTCGCTGCTGACCAAAGACAAGAAAGCGAAGAAATTAAAAGAAGAATAGTGCTTGCCAAAGTGCTATTATGGCTTGAGGAAACAAATGGCCCCAAAACTACCCAGAAAAATTAAAGTTACCATATAGAAAACACTAGTAAGGCCAGTGTTAACTTACAGGTCAGAAAAGTGGTCACTTTACACAGAACGACCAAGAATTGCCTAAAAGTTTCGAGAGAAAAACTCTAAGGAAAATATATGGAGGAGTCCAAGAACAGGGTTTGTGGCATAGGCTTTGAGTTATACAGAATGTTTGAGGAACCTGACAATGTAAAATGTATTAAATTAGCACAACTTCAATGTGTAGGACATGTAATTGCGAGATGAAGATGCAATGATCAGAAAAATTTTTGACAGAAGAGGACCAGTAAGAAGATGACCAAGAGGAAGACCAAAACTTAGGTATCAAGATAACATAGAGGATGATCTAAAATCCATCGGAATTAAAGCATGGAGAAGAGTTGCCAGAGACAGGGGCGAATGGAAGATTGTTCTGAAGAAGGCTTTGGCCCATAACGAGCTGTAATGCCACTGACGATGATGATGATGATAACTACATTTACTTAAAGGGTTTTTACAGAAAAAAATTTGTGGCTTCAAACATGTAAATCCAGATAGCACTGATCATGAATTAGTTATTTCGAAAATGTTTGGTGATGTAGTCTGATAGGGTTTTTATATCAATATACCTTTTATAAGGGAATTTTTTAAATAAAAAAAATTGTGATACATATACTGCATGAAGTAATGCAGGATAGAAAGATTATTGGTATTTCCAATAGCTAACAGTTACCTGGTAACTATACTTCCAGGATGGTGATGATGTTTACAAAGATAAATTGGAAATATGTATATAAAATAAGCAGTCTAATTATTATTAATCACTTACTGTACTTTCATCAAATCTTGGAATATAATTTTCAATGCCTTCTTTTAAATATTCACCCCAATTAATTTCTTCCTGTTCTGGTTCTACTTTCACTTCAAATTTTTCTGGATTTTCTAAAAACTTTACAGTAGGTTTCTCAGACATACAAAGCAAAAACTTAACAACATTAAGTTGAGCTGTTAGCTGTGCCTTGGACACATGCTGTGTGATATATTCATTATAAGATTCAAGTAAAGCTTTTGATTGGGCAAAGAAACCATGAAAATTGTATTTTTCTGCCATTCCTTCAATACTCCTATCAACTTCAGTTTTATTAAGAAAATACATTGTATCAGATTTCCTAAGCTTTTCGTGAAAGTATTTTTGTACCACATTAAAAGCTTCTGAATTGTCCTAAAATAATATATCTATTAAAGCAACACATATTGAGCTAATTCTGGACTACCATTGATACCCATTTTATTAAGTGGTAGTATACAATTTAATTAGAGAGACAATAAAACTTAATAAATATTTTTATATGGGATTAAGCTATATTTGATTGTAATGAGAATTACATTTTATATATTTGCTTTGACCTTTCGATTTCCACTCAGGATTTTGTTTTTAAAAATTCTGAAATAAAAATAATGAAGGATCTTAACCTGTAAATGTTTTTGAATTAATGAATTATAAACATTTAGGTTTATAATTTATAAACCTACATGGTTCAATCATTAATAATTTTAAATAAATCTAAATGTCAAAGCAAATAGGTATGCTGTATGATTCGCATTAAACTCAATTGTGGTTCAACCCAAATATGAGTGTTCATATTTATTTTAGATATCAGATCTGTACAGCAAGTCTTTAGTGTTTTGAAAATTTCATGATTAATAATAATCAAAGACGATCACAGATCATAGTTCATAAACATGCATTCTGTATTATTTATGCTACTATTTATGCAGTGGGACAGTAATTTTTGAAACGAATTGTTCTCTGAAATAAAAAATGATTAATTTGAAAAAAAAATAGAAAATATCTAAAAGAGCTGAAACTGTCTTAAATAAAATTTAGCTAAACCAAATATATATGGACATCAATTGTCGTTCTCGTTCAATTTAAAATTGGATTAAAATGATATGTACATTTTTGCTACAATTAATGTTAAGGGATTTAGTAGTCACAGGTAGAAATGTAACATTGTAAAAATAATGTAAGTAAGAATATTTTACCTCAAATCCAGTTACTTGAATTATTAGGTCCTTAACTCCGTCTGCAATTTCTCGACTGAGATGCCGGGCCATTTTTTAATGTTTTTATTTTGAAAAAATAATATTTCTTCCTAAAGAATTTAACAGTTTTTAGTTTTTATTTTGTTTAAATTGACGTTGACAGATTATCACACATTTGAACTACAACTAACCAACTTGACATCACGACAACCTGCATTACATATAATATTTGAACTAACGAGAAATGTAACTACTGATGACCATTTTTTGTTTAACAATTTTTGTAAATTAAAATAAATGATATTAAATTTTTACTACAATGAAGCTTACAATTATTCCCATTATCCTGCATGCCGTTAATTTATGTTAATTACGGTAAAGTAATGTTTTTTTCTGCAAAGCACATACACAAAATACAAACATAGAACATCACAGTCCGTGGCTAAATGAAATATCAATAATAGTCATGTTGTTAGAGCGCAGGACTACCAAACAGAGCAAGACAAAGGACATGGAACTCTGTGAGGTGTAGAAATAATTGCTCATGCTATCATAATTTTATTGAAATTTATATGATTTTTAAAGACATATTCTTTTCTTTGATTATTATTATTTTTTAAATTATAACTCGTGCAAATCCTTGTTTTTATAATGTAAAAATATTTAATAATCTTCAGTTTTTTTCAACTCTCCATTTTTTAAAACCGCAAAATTAGTTTCGAAACACAATTCAGATTTCCGCTTTAATCTGTGCTTTCTAAAAATTGCAAAGCAAAACAGACGTTGATGAAGGTGTTAAAATATACTGTGCTGTTCTGATGAGACCTATTAGGTCGAAATACGTATCAACAGATACAAAGGCGCTGTTTGCGTGAAATCAAATATTTTGCGGTCTTTTTCACTTTCTCCGTTTTTTGTCAAAATTATATAGGTACATACCTTCACAACTTTTTTTAATTAAAAACTGTGACGACACTAAGTTATACGACATCCAGCTTATTAACAGGCTCTCGTCGGACTTTAAGTTACTGAAACCAGTGAACTACGAATACTGTGTTCAGTGTTTTAGCAGAGAACTACGAACACTGTGTTCATCATTGAATTTATTTACGAAGTTCAAAAATATTTAAATTTATGTTTTAATCTTTTTTAAGTGCTAGTGATGTTATCCAATCAAGCGGTAAAAATAAAACACAATTCATTGACATAACCACATTGTTATTGTCTTTTTTTGCTAGCTTAACTTTACCGTCAACCAATCACTTGGTAGTTTAAAGGCGCGTTCACATATATTCTTCTTGCTACATTCTTCCCCTTTGGATCACAGAACCCACCCGGATGTGATATAAATAAAACAAGCAAAAATAATTTACAGGTACAAAAAGTAGCGTTTTGGATAGGGCACTTACTAAGAAGGACACACTTCCGAAACTGGTGTATAAGACTCAGTATTATTAGTCTTCAGAACATCTGGATTCACAGTGGGCGTTGTAGTAGTTTGGTAGAGTGAATTTGGAATTGGTAATGAGTTCAGACTCTCGACTACAGATGGAATCTGTTTAGGACGTCCGCGACCTCGAATGAGATGCTTCGCTCTTGAAAAAGGCTCATCAGGATAAGTAGCAATATATCTGACTAAAGGAGATACATGGTAAGTACCTAAAGGCACAGATGGAGTATCTAGATTTACGATTTCATACGTAAATCCATATGGCTTCCTAGCATCGGCCTGACACAGTATCGGGAAGTGAGTCAATAGTTGTTCCATTTGGTGTAGGAGTTACTTTCTTGGGAAGATCCTCATTCCCAAGTAGATCTATTGTGAGTAAAATGGCTTGAGGGTCTAGATATTTTTCCAAGATGTGACACAAATCTTCGGAAGCAAAAGGTTTGTAGACAGTTAACTCAGAACCTGTTTTACATTTTAAGGAGCATACATGCCCTTAATTGCAACTATTTTATCTGGGTAGAGGGTAAAACCATCCTAATTAGCAATGTGTCCAAGATATTTTACCTTATCGGTGATGAAATCACATTAAGCACGATTAACGTAAACTTAAAAAAACCTGATCCAAATCCTTAAGATGGCTTTCAAAAGTAGGACACATTATAAGGTCATCCAAATAAGCAATCATAGAAGTATGTGACAAGCCTGATTTAAAACGTTAAATAAACCGTTGAAATGTAGCTGGTGGCGTCATTAACCCAAAAGGCATAGCATTATACCCATATGTACCAAAAAGAATGAAAAACGATGTTTTATCCCTATTTTCCTTATTTACTGATATCTGGTGATATCCACTTTTTAAATCTTATCTGATAATGAACAGTAAATGAAAGTAGAATTCAGGAAATCATCAAATCGAAGTAAAGGCTATTGAACAGAAAGTATAATATTGTTTAAACGCCTATAATCAACACAAAGTCTCAGATTTCCACCAGGATCTGGAACTAACACTACTGGGAATACATATGAGAACTCACATTCTTTAATTATTTCATCTTCTATAATTTAATCTCGTAAAGAACGCAGAATTTCCCTAAGGAGGCGCAAAATGACAAGGAAATTGGATTATCATCTGTTCACTGACTACCATGTTCAGAATAAGGGGTTTGTTCTTTACTCTTTTTAAAAACTGTAGAATATGTTTGAATTAAATGTTCCAATTAAAGTATTTTATTGGGATTTAAATTTTTACCATTATTATAGGCTTAAGCTGTAGTTCTGTCTTAGAAATTGTACATGAGGTATATTTGATATGCTTCTTAAAAACATCAAAAATTTGCAAAGGATCATCCTCAAAGAACCACTGCTATTTAGGTATTTTTAACACCATTTAAATATCTGAAATGATATCTATACCAAAGATTGTTTTACTATTTTCATGCTCAGGTATTGCAAGAAAAGTATTGGTAATTTTCCTTTCTCGTAGTTCTACACTAGCTTTAGAAATAGTTGTGGCACTTATAAATGTTTCGACATCTTCATTTTATTGCCAGAAAAATCATTCATCAAAAGCATTGTATCATGCTAGGTATTTTACTTATTATAATTTATCATCATAGGAGGACATGGAATAGCAGACTCGTCGTATTGTAGCATTAAAGATTCAGAAAGATGCAGAATTCACTATGGTAAAAGCAGCTTTAGTATTCTGAGTTAAATTGTGAAATTTCTTTGAACTTAGAAGCACTTCTTAGTTGTTACTTTTTTCTGTAAATTACTTTTATGCACTTAAATTCACCAAACAACAATCTCACAAAGTTTCGAGATTTCTTTTCCTTCGTACAAAAGGTACTGATTCTTGTGTTGAGAAGGTCCGACATTGGGCAGCCAGTTGTAAGACTATGAGAAATATACTTAAAAACAGATGATGGGAAATAAACTGTTGATAGTGTATATAGATAGTTGTATATATATATATATATATATATATATATATATATATATATATATATATATATATACATATATATATATATATATATATATATATATATATATATATATATATATATATATATATATATACATTATAAGTGTTTTATACAACAGCTACTTTTCAGCATTTTAATTATCTTCCAAATAAGTTTGTATTCTATACATGTCAGTCTTATCAACTATTCCTGAATAGCAGAACGCCAATTTGTGGTAATTATTATTCATGCATATCTATTCCTTGCCCGACTGATTATTTTCTTTAGTCGCGTGGTCTTGAAATTGTTGATAGATGTTTACCGTCAAATAACCCTTAGGATCAATAATTTGCATGGAAAATAATGATTGCAGACAAAGTGTCATCAAGTGCTAAGTGTGGTGAATGCATAGAACTATCAATTCTGGGATATTCAGTAAGTTTTTTTTTATATTTTTTCTTGTTCTTTTTATTGAAATAGAAATTTTAAATCGAACAGTATGTTTACTTTTATACAAACGTAAACATACTGGACGTAAAAGGTTTTAGAATTTTATCGAAATATTAGTCAAAATAGCGTCTTATATGTTTATTTAGTTCTTCTGCTTTAAGTGCCGTCTCCCAATCGAAGGGTGAATATCATCATCACTATCTTTACTGTATCTACTGCTGCTCTGAAGAACTGCCAGTATAATAGTCCCTTAAATTCTTCAACCATAACACTCCCCTTCTTCCTATACACCTTCCTTCTATTATCTTTCCCTGTATTATCAGCCTTAGCAGTTCATATCTCTGTCCCCTCATTGCGTGTCCCATATATTGTAACTTTCTTATTTTTATTGTGTTTATTATTTCGCATTCTTTGCCCATTTCTCGCAATACTTTCGTGTTAGTTTTCTTCCAGTGCCCTAGTGTCCATGCTATTCTAAGCATCCTCCTGTAAAACCACATTTCAAAGGACTGTAACTTATTTATGTGTTCTTGCTTCAATGTCCAGCTTTCAAGTCCATATTGCAGTATCGAAAACACGTAGCATCTCAGTGTTCTTACTCTTAGTTCTAATCTAAAGTCTTTATTGCAGAGAATTGTTTTCATTTTTACAAACGCATTTCTTGCTATTTCTCTTATGGCTCTTATTTCGGTTGTTTCATCAGTATTGTCTGAAATCCAGGTTCCTAAGTATTTGTATTTATCAACCCCTTCTATCGGTACATTTCCCAAATGGTGTTTGTTGGTATATTTGTTTTCTTTGTGATTATCATGTATTTAGTCTTTTTTATATTCATTTTTAGTCCATATTTTTCACAGAAACTGTTTTTTATTGTTTAGCAGTAATTGGAGTTGTTCAGCAGAGCTTGTCATAATCACTATGTCATCTTCATATCTTTCTGTTGCTGTTTTCCTACTCCCACGGTATTGATTCTGGTTTTTTTGTAATGACTTGCTCAAATACTTGTTTTTACATTTTTTTTTCTAAATACTTAATTGTAGATATCTATATTTAATGATATCTCATACTATTTTTATCTGTATTATTTATTATTAGGATAAATATTTTTACTGCTTGTCGTAATTTAGGTATCTATACAGTTTGTCCCAAAAATAGTAAATTTGTAGAATTTATATTTTGTTATGCTAAATTGATAATTTTACCATCTTTAATTGAATTTCTATACTATTTATTATCATTACATCCTTCACTCTTCGCCAGTTGTGAATTTCTCCTTGTTTTTCTTCTTTTCTATTACGCTTTTTGCAAGTTTTTAAAACTATCTTCTCTTTAGTAATCATGGCCCTCCCTTTTAATCCAAACCATCTTAAAACAGATGAATTGGCCTATGAACTTACCATTAGAGATTCTGCAGCAACCGCAAATGTTGCGGAGCGCAGAAAATCCCTTCGGGGGTTCCTTGCGGAGGAAAAGAAGACAGTCCCAGATTTTAACTCGACCTGGCTTTTAAGCAGGATGTCAAATACGCTCAACAAACGTATCAGGAATTAAAAACTTTGGTTGAGGGTTCAAGTGGTACCAGCGCAACTCTCAGTTGCTAGTTATCAGACCATTTCCAATTATTTTCACCACTTCTCTGGAAGAGCACGTCGCCTTGCCACATCAGATGAAGAGAAGGAGGTGATTAAACAAAGTTTTAAAATGGACCTATCCATCCTTCTTTGTGAACTGGAGGAAAAACTAGGAAATCATTTCGATCAAGCGGAGTATCAACACTTCTATTCTACACCTATTATCTCTCCTTCCTTTCTTACTTCAGAAAATTTTCTGTAGGTGACAATCTCATCCCCTTTCTTGAACAACTGGATGTCTTAAAACATTTTAGAGGATGTAAAAATTCTGATCTTCTACTATCTGCGGGAGATCTGCAGGAAATCACGCCCCACGTTGGGCTCCATTTTGTAACGCCTAATCTTATAAAGACCAGGGCGTTAAGCAACACCACACTGTGGGAAGAAACGAGGGGAGTAAAACGCTCACCGTTCCATTCACCAGAATGGTGCTCTGCCCGACTACTCAGCCCTGGATTCGTTCCCTGTTCATTCTCCCTCTACACCAATCCCAGAAAGGTACAGGAAATAAAAATATTTGTTAAGCCACAACAAAAGGTATATTTATTTATTAAATAAAAAAAAACAAAATTTATATTATGAATGTGAAACAAAGATAAATAAACTGTGACCCAAATATTAAGCCGATTGCCGGTATGAAATAACTAAAATACACGAAAAGTACTCAGCTTTATTTTGTTCGAAATGAGTTGTCGAGTCTCTCAGGAAAGGTCCGATCCTTGTTGAATCTAGTCGCTGTCGGTGGATTTAAGGAGAGTTGCTGGTCTAAATAATGGCAATTTTCTTTCCATGTTACTAAAGGGATTTCAAATTCCGTACTGATGCATCAGTGGCTTTGTATCTGGTTGCTGATTGTTGCCCAAGGTATTGTGGTTGGCTGTTTTCTTGCTTCCACGGTTGTAGCTAGAAAATTCAAACAAAGATTAGTTTTTTCCCAAAAGAGAAGCCTGATCAGAAATAAAGCTGAGTATTTAGAGAGAAACGATCTCAGCAAAATCTCTGATCACAGCGTGGCATTAATAAAAATAAATTTGTATGAAAAGATTTTTATTAATAAGATATTCAAGAAAGTAAGGTAAGATAGGTACATATATACTTACAGTAAGAAAAAAAAATAAAAGTTAAAATGATTTCAGCTTTATTTTAAGAAAGAAAGTATCTGCCACGCAAAGTAAAACAAGTAAAATACAAAGGCCAAAAACAAAACAAAAAACTTACCCGTGTATACGGCCAAGACAGTAACCAATTTAAGAATGGTTGTAGCAATTGTAGTAGAGTTCGTATCGGCTTATATATAGTAGCGCGGCTGCTAAAAATATTTATAATGTAGTGGGGTTGCTTAGGAATATTATAGTAATATAATCTACAAATATTTTAATATCTATATAAATCTATATAATATATTATACTAAACACATAATTCAAAAAAAAATTGTTTGTTGCAGTTGATAATGCAGAAACGAGACGTAATCCTTACTGCTGTCTTCTCAAGTCTCGCTGCTTTGATATTGGTAGCAGGCATTAGCGCTGCTTGCTACTTCTTTCATAAAAGAAGGCGCAAGCGGGACGAGGAAGAAGAAGATTCCCAAGAAGTTACTTGCCGAAAGATGGAGGAAGGACAAGAGAAGAAATCCAGGATTAATGGATTCTTGACGCTCAAGACACCACTGATTTCGACAAAGACTTTAGGGTGAGTGTTTTAATTCTTTATAAATTTTGTGCCAGAAAAAAATTACACTATGGAAGAATAACAGTTAGTCAGCATAAGTACTTTATTGATTATATTTATTTTAATACAGCGTTGATCTTTTATTTTTATTTAGTCAAGGTGTTTTTGATCTGAGATCGTATGTCTGCTTTTCTCTTGGTAGTACTTAAAGTTAATCAGAATATGCTTAAAATGTTAAAACAGTCGAAAAATTATCAGTAATACTAATTCGTGATGAGTATATCAAATACAGAATTGTATATGATTGGAGTTTATTTCGAATGTCACCAAAATGCCGCTATTGCCTCACGCATATATTCTGTAAAATATTCTGACGGGAGACATTATGGCAAAAAAGTATTTAAAAGAGAGGCAAGAATATTAAGAGAAACTGGTAGTTTTCATTGTCTTTATTTTAAACGACGTAGTAGAGGTATGACCAAAGATAATTCAATCAATATTCTTGCTTTAATTCAACAAAATCTACATATAAGTAGTCGGCAAATCTCTATATAATTAAACATACCCAAAACTACTGTTCCAAAGATTTTAAAACCTCCCAAGTTGGTTTTTCATATTATAAAGTGAACGTTTAGGTCAGAAACTTGGAATTCCCTTTAAAGTTTAGATTCAACTGTTATTTTAATATTCTGATAAAAACGGTAACATGGCGCTTTTATACGTTTATCCGTTTCTTAAAAATACTTATGCACGATGTATCTTGTGTAACAATTGTGGATTTTTCAAGATTTTTTGAGTTTTAGTAAATATAGTGGTTTATTTTTCACCAATATTTGTTGCTCTGTTTTGAGACTGCATCCTTATCATGTAGTTCTCCACCAAGCTTTACGTGAGAGAGATTTTGATGTAAGGCTGGATTACTGCAATTAAATGTTAGGTCTGCTAGAAGAACAACCGCATAATCATGTCAAAGATTTTGTGGTCAGACGAGGCTACGTTTAATAGTGCGGGTGGTGTTAATCTGCATAATATGCATTATTGAGCTGAAAAAAATCCGCACCGGATACCTGAGGTGCAGGTTCAAGGTAGATGAAGTCTTAATGTTTGGTGTGGTATAGTTGACGGAAAGATCGTAGGTCCATATTTCTTTGATAGAACTTTCAATGGCGAAACATATTTGGATTTTCTGGAAAATCAGTTGCCTGTTTTATTGGAAGATATTTCCCTACAAACAAAAAAGAAGAGATATGATATTTCAACATGACGGATGTCCTGCGCACTTTTCCAGATGACTTCGACATTATTTGTATACAAGTTATACAAATAAATGGATTGAAAGGGGAAGTATATTTTCATGACCAGCTAGATCTCCAGACTTAACATGTCTGGACTTTTATCTTTGGGGAAGATTAAAGGACTTAGTGTACCAAACTCAACCAACCATGCGAGATGACATGAAACAGCATTATAAACGCAAATTATAAACGCAATAAATAGTAAATCAGCAGCTGAGATTGAAGCAGCTTTTATGCCTACGTGCAAAAGATTACATTTTTGTGTGGATAACGATGGAAAACAATTTGAACAATAAATTGGACATTAAGTTTTAATGATCGAGATATTTGTATGATCTTTCATATATTTAATTTTAAGTTATAATAAAGGGTGAGTCAATACTATACTTACTTATGTTTATGCGTTTTTATTCATATCCCGAGTTCAACAAAATCTATCAACATGCGGTTTGTGCCATTTTGGTACGAATTTAATCCAGTTTCATTATAATTTACAATAAATAGGTATTTCTATTAAACATTTTGAAGAAAAACAAATTTCAATTTTTTCTATTCGAAAGTACCCTCTACCCATGACAATTAAAACTAATTGTTTTATAGTAAATGTAAATTAAATTATCCACACTCTTTCTAATTACACTAATTTTGTACAAATCGGTTAATCCAAACCAAGGTTATAGGTATTTATCCACAACTACTTTCCCACTCTCCCCCACCCTTTATTTGAAAAAATAAAAAAAAGTTCTTAAACAGCTTTATGCGGAATTTAGGCCTCTTTCTAGTTTACTTAATTAACATTTGGTATAATTGGGCATATTTTACAAAAAACTGGTTTTCAAATTTTTCTTCACAGGTTACGCCCCCTAGCGGTTAACCCAGAAACTTGAAAGTTATTTCCAGCGATTTCTTTTGGCCACTTTTAATAAACAAAATTTTCTCCTAAAGTTATAACATGAATAGTTCCTGATATATAGCCGAGGGATCGGCTTATTTTATCACCCGGTACCTACATTAGAAGTTGTAAACTTTGTTGTAGTATTTTATTCACGATAGTTAAATTTTGCTTTTATAACTCAAGTAGTCGAACGCTAATAATTATTTTACTTTTAATTGGTACTTATCTTTATCATTTTGAGTCACACACATTTTGTTTTGAGTAATTAAAAAGTTTGTAATAATACTAACCCAGTTAAAACTAGAAATCTGTAAAAACCGTGTATTTTCTGTCGAATTCATTTTCGTCGCTTTCATAAGTATTGATTTTTAGTTGTTCACAAATATTCTATTAGAGGGCGCCAAGACCTTCAACAGATTTTAGGAAACGGTAGTTGAATGTTTATAGAATACTGTAAACTGTTTTGGGTCATAGGTCAAGTCAATATTTTCAGCGATTACGTAATGCATCCCACGTGAATTCACACCGAATAATTTTAGACAGTGGTATATTTTCATAAAGGATAAAGATATGAAGTTGTAAAATTATTTCTACATTTTACAATAAACCTTGTTGAATATAGTTATATATTACAATTTCAAATACCTATGTATTTAATATATTTAAGCATGATTTTTTTATTTAGAATAAAATATTCTTATTGTTTTATTTAAGATCAAGGGAACCACAATTATTGAAATCACTAATTTCTTAAATTTTTAAATCGCATATAATAGGTCAGGTACTTAAGTTATTAAATAAATTATTTTCTTTATTCGAAAAAAATATGAACGAAATAAAGCAAGTGGCAAAGGAACAATGAAGTTAGTATTGTTCTGAAGCTATTTTATTGTGGCATTTTAAAGTAATTACTATTTAAATGGGAATAAACCACAATTAAAGATTAAAATACGTTTATTGACGTTTCAATTTCCACTTCGGAAATCGTTCTCAAAATACAAACATTAGTAAATTAAACAAATTTTGTTTTCTTATTAATTAGTGAAAAATTCTTCTAACAATTTAATTTTATCTGACTCATTTATATTGACCATTCAGTCATACATTATACATTTTAAAGTAGACGACTTTAAAATGATATTGCCAATATTGTTGAGTTGCGCTCCTGGGACGACTTTACTTATAAGATAGTTCATTCGATTACATGAAATCAACTTTAACTTGAGAATATCCGTTAAAAAAAATCATAACATGCAATTCGTCTTTAAAAAGACAAACACATGCCATGATGACAGTAAAATTCTCCTGTTAGTGATTCCATAGTAAATTATGAGGAAAAAACCGGGAAAAAACCTCATAATACTATCTCGATTTGGTAAGTATTTGGTCGTGCATTTAGTTTAACTTTCAATAAACATCAAATTCTGATTTGATGTGTTTTTTATTAAAAAAAAAATAAATGATTTATCCTCCATATGTTACGAACTTACTAATACTGGTATTTTTTTTTAATAACTTCCTCTTTCAATATGAGTAACTAGATCTAACTACATTCTGCCAAGGAATTTGCGACACAATTGGTCTTATTTAGCATAATTAGAGCCGCTTCTTTGATTTTTCTCTTTTTACCATCCGTTTCTTTTAGGGCTATATTTGAATCATTCCATTGAACCCTATGTTTATTATCTCATACGTGTTTACATATTTGAGATCTATCAAATTCTCTATTTTTAGTATAAAACTGATGTTCACTTATTCTAACATTTAATGGCCTTGATGTTTCACCTTAATAAAACTGATCGCATTTACAAGGTATTTTATAAATGCAATTCTCTGTTCTTTCTTGCTCATTGTTAGGTTTGATTTTGGACAAAATAGATCTCAACGTCTTTGTTGTTTTGAATGTTGTTCAAATGTTTAATTTATTTCCTATCCTTCTAAGTTTTTCTGATAATCCTTTTATGTATGTTATTTTCCTCGTATTATTACTTGTGTATGCTGTGGGATATCGTTCTAAGTTGTTCTGTTCTATTCGATCGATTGTTGAAAATTCCTTGTTTATAAACGATAAAGGATAATATTTTTAAATAAAACCGATGTTAACAACTGTTTCTCCTCCAAGAACGAATTTTCGTTAGAACAAGTAATTTTGGCTCTATCGTATAAAGATTTAATGAGTCCCATTTTAATATTAATATTGTGATTTGATTTAAAATTTATATATCTGTTGGTGTGTGTTGGTTTTCTATACACCCCAGTCTCATATCCAGTATCGTTCTTAGAGATTAAAACATCCAGGAAAGGTAGTGTGTATATTCCTTTTGTAGTGTATATATTCCTTTTCCATGGTAAACTTTATTGTCTCTTCTTTATCATTTATATCATTTAGGAATGTGTCCAACAACTCTGATCCACGAGGCCATATTGAGAATACATCATCTACATATCTCCACCATACTGTGGGTTTTAAATTTTGTTTAGAAATGATATTTGTTTCAAAACCTTCCATAAATATATCGGCTAATAATGGAGATAAACTAGAGCCCATTGCTAGACCAAAATTTTGTTAATAGAATTCATTATTTAGTCGAAAATATGTATTATCAGTACATAATATTAATAACTTCATTATAGCTGATATGTTTAGTCTGTTCTTGTTGCCAATGTATCATCACTCTCTAATTTTGTCTGGACTATATTTAAAGTCTTATCTAATGGTACATTCGTAAATAAAGTATTTATGTCAAAACTTCCAAAGTATTATTTAAATTAAATTCAATATTTTTGATAATTTTTTTAAAAAATGTTGTGTATTTTTTATAAATGTGTCA